AGACGCTGGACAGTTGGGTTGGAAACCGAGCAGGGGGGAAATGGTCAGGGTGAGGGGAGGGAAGGGAGGGAGGGAGCGAGGAGGGTGTAGAGAGTCGAGAGGGGAGCTGAAGGCACAGTCAAAGAGAAAGGTCTTGAGACCGGCCTTGAAGGAGGAAAGGGAGGAGGCGGCGAAGGCACTGGGGGATGGAGTTCCAGAGCCTCGGGGCTGAGAGGCTGAAGGCCCGGCCACCGATGGTAGGGTGGTTGGGGCGGGGGATGTGGAGCAGACCGGAGCCGGAGGAACGGAGGGTACGGGCAGGTAGGGGGATAGTAGGTCAGAGAGGTAGGAGGGAGCGAGGCCGTGAATGGCCTTGTAGGTGAGGATGAGGATCTTGAAATCGATCCTCTGGGGGAGAGGGAGCCAGTGGAGGCTGGCGAGGGCGAGGGTGAGGGCGAGGGTGAGGGCGAGGGTGGGAGTGATGTGGTCCCGAAGCCTGGACAGTACACGAGCTGCAGAGTTCTGAATGACCTGCAGTGTGGAGGGAGGTGCCGGGAAGGCCGGCGAGGAGAGAGTTCCCATAGTCCAGCCTTGAGGTGATAACGGCGTGGACCAGAGTTTCAGCCGCGTGAGGGGTGAGGTAGTGCCGTAATCTGGCGATGTTTCGGAGGTGATGGAAGGCAGTGCCAGTTGTGGCGCGGATATGAGGAAGAAAGGACAGCTCAGGGTCGAACATTTCCTATTTTAGTGAAATAATGTATTCAAAAGGAAGCTGGTATTCTTTGGTTTGAAAAAAAATACAGTTTCATCCTCAAATGTTTGAAGATCTTGTGAGCTGCAATTTGCAAGAGTTTCTATGTGCTTTGATCCCTCTTGCATGTGGCTGATTGATATGTCAAGTTTACCTACGCCTTTCTCTTTGCTGTAAGCATTACTCTAGCCACATATCCTGCTCTGTCATTGAAAGAGAGGAAGATTATTTACCCAAATCATAATTACCTATTGTTTCCCGATACCCTTTCTTATTCTTTCTCTTCAAATGTCTTTCAAATTCCTTGTGGTCTCAGCCTTAACACCGCAGCTACTTTACTGCGAATGTGAATTTCTTCTAATGGCGATCCGTCAAAGTAAGAAACAAACTGAGCCTTGGAAAAGTTCTGGAGCTTGCTTATATCAACTTAAATAGATGAGACGAGTTGTTAACGTTTGCCCAAGATCTGCAGGACTCGGACGAGAAATGCCCACTTGTGAATTTCTTGCTTGCAAGATAGAAGTTCTTAAATTTAAAAACGTCACCTGCTTGGCAAAGGCTCTACTTAACGCATAGTTGTTTTTTTTAAAAAATATATATATATTTCAGCATTCAGTTGTGCCTTTCAGCATGTTTGGTGGCACCACATTTTAGTTCAAGCCTCTGGCTGTTCTAAGCTGTTATAATAAATTACTCATCTCCTTGACTCCCCCGAGCAGAGTTTATTGTGGCTTAGAACCTGTTCTTCTTGTGATAGAATGCCCCAAAATTATTTTTTTCACAAATTCTCCAAGGTTAATAAGAATAAATAAGAATTTATTTAGACGTTTATACCACAGGGATGAGATGCCTAATCGTTCAAAATAAGACAGGCTTATTTATATACAGTGTTTCTACTAGAGAAACTGTTTTGCTTAAAACCTGATGTTAGTTGACGCATGTAATGATTAGTCAATTTTATTTTGAGTCAAATCCAATTTCCATCTGGTTTGGTCAGTTCTATCAAACATCTAGACAGGTCCAATTTGATCTTGTTTACTCTGTTCCTAGAATAGGTATTTGTAGTTGCTAAAACATGTTCAAAAACCTGATCATATTGATACTACATTGCAGAATTGTAGAAGTTACAGCACAGAGATACTCAATTTGTACCCTAGATTCTAATAATATATGAGTTCCACTGTTGGAGCTATCTACTTTAATCCCTACTCCCTGCTTTTTCATTTTATTCTATAATGTTCCTTTTCAAATATTTAACAAGTTCCCTTTAACAGCCACTTGTAGCAAAACATAATGTCCTTCGCACAAAAAATGTGATGTCCTCTTAATCTTATGTAACTCAATCCTTCTGTAATTCAACACGTGGAGAACAAATACATCAAAAATGATTTCAGTTAAATATTAATAAATGATCCTTCTGGACTTTTGGGGATGCCTTTATTTATGACCGGATGAAATATTGTTTTCATTAATTACTGTGAAATAATTACATATTGCACAAGTGAGATCCTCCACGAAACCTTTAAAAGGGCACCATCTTCATAAAGAAATGTTTGGTAATCCCACACTGTGATGCAAAATCTGTATCAAAATACAGTATTTGCAAAGGCTATTTCGGACAACTGTGGATGCGATCTGGATGCTGAACGTAATGGATTAGTGATCAATTGCTATATAAGAGGATAACATGGGAGGATGGGGCTGGAGTCTGAGGTGCTCTTGTGTTTATTTGCACGTTGTGAAAACAGGCAAGTTTGCCGAAGGCTGGAGGTGTACAGTTCCCTGCAGCTAACACCCAGTAATCACAAGTCATGCAAAATTTGTTCCTGAAAGTAACCGAGGGCAAATTTTACTATTTGCCAAACAGAATTAGAGCCTAAAATATTTTGTGCACTAAGCCAGTTGAAACTCATTTTAGTTACAGAAAGTTGATTTTCCTGGAACATCTATATAAATAAAATTGGCAAAGTAGTACAATTATAATGATACCTTTAAGTTTGTGAAGTCTTTTTTTTCCCTGGTGGTCAATGGAAAATGGATATTTACATTTCTGAATTGTATTTCGCCACATGTGCAACTGCAAATATTTTTTTCTGGTACTTCTCTATTACAAATAATTTTCAACATGTGTATTTTTACATGTCTTTTTGCGCCTAATGAATACATTAAACAGAGTCACTAATATTAACCACGCATTTCATTCAATTTTCCATTCTAATTTCTTAGGCAAAGTGCTGACAATGTGAAATACGGCAAAAGATAGCAGAACCTTATTTAATAAAAAGTAGTATCAATGCTGGTTAAATAAAATGTTCAGGCAACGTCTTCTTGTGCTGGCAAAGTAGAATTAATAATGTCTTCTTGGCTTCGCAAAAGGCAGTGTAGTTGGGCGACTGTTGGGCTTGGGTGATGGGTAAACAGTTTACTTATTAAGGCAAACAATAATTGACTTCTGAAAGGTCTAGTGCTTTATTTTTGCCAATTCTCTCACCCATGTGAAGGCACTGACTCTCTCCAGATAGGTGCCAATCATCCTCTGCTACTCTGCCACATGTACTATCTTCATGTGTGAGCGAGTGTTGACAGGCTATTTGCCTGTGGAAGTGAATCCTCACACACATTCTCACATGGCTCCTGTGGCTCCCCATTCCTTAGTTGATCAATTATAATATCCTTGATCTCACTTTCAAATGCTTCCACAGCCTTTTGCCCACCCTATCTCTCCGATCCATCTCTTTGTGTCAGCCTGGTTCAGTTGGTAGCACTCTCGTCTCTGAGTCAGAAGCCCATGCTAGGACTTTGTATTCTAGAGTACATTGACAATCTAATGCAGTGTTGGGGGTGAGAGGTGTTGTCAGATGTGTCATCCTTCAGAGTTAAAGATCTTGTGTCATGATTCAATTAGAATTTTCACTTCATGGCTGAGGTAGAACATTGTTGTGTGCAAATCGATTGCCACATTTGCCTACAAATACAGTCACTACACTTACACTACACTATAAATCATTTGAAGCTCTTTGAGATGTTGCGACGATATCAAATACAAGGATTCGTGTTGCATAACAGCACATGATTCATGTGCCATTTGTCAAATAATTTAATCTGTTGACTTTCATTTATCACTTTCAATGATCCTAATTCTAAGTGTCTGAATGATCCTTTTCTTAGAGAAAAGAAAATCTATGTATTAATTCATTTGAACTGACGAGGTAGATAATCTTTTCCTGCGGCAAATGTGCTTCTGCTGCCAAACCAGCTTGCCTGTGTTAATCACTTCTCTGAGCATGTTTAAACAGCTTTAACCTGACTTGATTTATCATGACAAAATAATCTGAATGTGCTGCTTTCTTGACTTTTTCATTCCACTAGCTGTCTTTTGGAAATGTAAGTTGTGTAAAATGTACGTGTATTTTGTCAGCAGAAGTACTTGTGATGGACACAATTCTAAAACCTAAAAAGGCACAACTGATCTCTTATCACAGAAGGTGGAAGCATTACAAATTTACATTCATTATAGCTCCAACCGACCGCATAAAGATTATAATATGAGTATCCATAGATCAGTGTTAACATGTCAGAAAGCAAGATCTATGCTTAATAGAACACGAAATAAAAATGTGTGAATTTAAATGCATGTCACACAATGAAGATTGCAGAATTCAGGAGTGAATGTTAGCAAATACATTTGGCTAGGAAGATAATTATGGATTAGAGTTTTTTTTGAGGGGATGTGGGGGAATAAATCGTGCATCCATTTGCAGGCAATTAAATTAGCTGGAGTCTTGAGAACAGGACTACAGGTATTGAGAAAAGATAATCTTAGAATTATTTGGGGGCCAGAGTGGTGTTAACAACGTTTCTATGTTGTTCTCCAATAATAATCCTTGCATTTGATGTAGCACCTTATCACATCGTTGAGACGTCTCAAAGCGCTCCACAGAATATACTGTAAAGTGTAGTGACTGTGTATCTTGTGGGCGAAATGCTGAACTAATACTAATGCTGAAAAACAGTGCAGGTGAATTCCTGGCACCCTTGCTCTCCAGGAACACAAACAACCAGACGTAAATGGACTCAGCAGCTACTGCTACTGAGGATAACCATCAGAAAATACTATTTTGGATGGAGGCCAGTACAATTGGCAAAAGAAAACTGACGACTAGAAGATTTTCCCGTGGTGATGCTAACATAATCTTAAAGTTACGACTTTGTTAACAGTTCCCTCATGTTGTTAGGCTGAATAAATCCTCCAAGTGTGTTCCCCACGACAATGGACAATGATGGCAGCGTGCGTTGCTTGTTCACAAGCAGCAAAAGGAGGAAAGAGTAAATCTTCCAAAGGATGGGAAATGATTTGCAATGTTTTTTTTATTTTTTAAACAGTTGTACCGATTGTGATACTCTTTCAACGGTAATGTATTGGACTGGTTCCTCTACACAGAGCTCAAAGTGGGAAAAAGTGATAGAAAGATCAATACATGGCAACATTACATTGCTGCTTTTTTAAAATTTATTTACATTTCAACATATTTTCTGTATTACAACATATGAGCAACCTCCCACTTTCTTTTTGTGAGGTGTCTGGTTGGTGATGGATTGTTTTTGACTGCCTGAGGCTATTTTTCCATCAGGATCATAAAAATGATTTCATGATTCGCTCTGACACGCTACACTGCGTGGAGGGTGCTATATAAGTGCAAGTTGTTGTTGTTGATTTAGAAGTACTGCATTTTAAACAATAGCGCTATGTGACTAACCGAAAATATTGAACTTTCTGCTATTATACTTCTAATATTAGAAATGAAGCAAATGTTTAATCTACAAGACAGCTAATCAGCATTTTATTGAAACCTTCAGACTTATACCTTTAACTTTTCCGAGAAGAATTATGTTGCTGCCCCTTTAAATGTACTTAAATACTTTCACTTTAAGATACCTGAAAATTGTAGATTATAGAGTGACGTCCATTCACCTTGTTAACGCTGTTACAACTCCTATAAGTCCCAATTGTTTCTTTTGATCTCTTCCTTTGAGCCAGTGCTGTTTTAGTATGCATGCAATGTATTTTGTTCATCTCATCTGTTGCTCATTTCGGTATTTTTGTTTTCTCTGTAAATGTTCATCTTTGTGACATGCTGCAGAATGTCAAAACCTTCTGGGTATTTTATTGTTGCAATATTCTGTGTAGGCTAGACATATATTGAAAGGTATGAATAAATATTCTACGCTTTCAAGTTCAACGAGAATTTCATCTAGAAAGGATTGTTACAGAAATATTACCATCTACTAAGGCAACATGCAAAATACTTAACTAGAATTGACTTGATGTGCCAATTGCATTGAAGGAACTGGTGAGATGATGTTCCATTCCGTCATTTTCCATCATTTATGCCTGCTCATTTTTTTTAAAAAAAGTTTATTTTAAAAGGAACAAATAAGTGTCATGCAGTGATAATACGCACTTGTCCCAGTGGGCAAGTGCCCAGTATTCCAAAAGTCTGAATCCAGTATTTCAAAAGTTGACAAAATTATTGTAAAACATTGAGGAAATGAATGTAATATCTGACTTTTGACTTTTCAGTTTTTCTTTGCACCTCTCGTGGATTTATTTAACTGCGACTACTTCAACACATTGCAAAAAACAGGATCCAATGCAGATTTCAATGAGAAACAATCCGATCCAGAATGCAATGTACACAAGGGTCCAATTTACAATCTCGCCCACAAAATATACACAGTATATACACTGTGAAGCGCTTTGAGATGTCTCAAAGATGTGATAAGGCGCTATATCCTACAAGTAAGAACCCAGTTGTTAGTCGATTGGCGGGTCGCTTTTCCGGGGGTAATAATTCCTTCAAAATAAATGGAAATAATTTGGTCACTCTAATCCACGACTGTTTGGCGCAATGAATTGGCTGCCGCCTTTCGCCCATCAAAACGTACAGTCAGTACACTTTACGGCATACTCTGCGAAGCGCTTCCAGGCGTCTCGACGACGGCGATATCCCAATGCCAGGGTGATGGCGATTATTATTACCGTCATTATTATCAGCAGGTACCGTCCAAAAAGCCAGGATTACTATTACCACGGAAAAAAATTCCCGTGCGAATTGCAAAGGATCCGATGCGAATTACCGCAGCGCGAAATGCCTCCCTCCCACCCCCAACCCCCCCCCCACCCCCACCCAAAAAAAAAATGTGCAAAAAAAAGGGTCTTTGGCAAAATCCTCAAACTGCAAACAACGACCCAAATGCAATGTACAATGTGCAGAGGATGGGGGGGAGGGGGAGGGGCAGGAAGGGGGCGTGGTCCCAGGCTCCCAGGTCCCGCCCCCTTGCTCGCCCCGCCTCCTCCTCCTCCCAAGCCCCACCCACCCACCCCCGCGAGCTGAGCGCGCGAGGGGGGTGGGGGGGAGGAGGAGGAGGAGGCGTGGTCCAGAGAGGGCTTCGCTTCCGATGTGGGCGGGCGACCACGTGAGGCGGGCGCCGGGCTCGGATTGGTCGAGGGGGTGGAGGGGGCGGGGTTGCGGGGGGGGGGGGGCGGGGGCTCAGCCCTGCGATCGAAGCCGAATGAATGAACCAACGGCGGCGGCGCGCGCACGTGCGCGCGGAGCAGCTCGAGGTGGGGGGGGCGGAGGCGGCGTCGGCGCGCGTGAGTGAGTGAGTGAGGGAAGGAAGGAAAGGGAGACGAGGAGAGGAAGGTGTGTGTGTACAGAGCCCGAGAGGGAGATGCAGAGCCTTGAGTTGAGGGGCACGACCTGGTGAAGCAGCAGCAGCGGCGGGAAACAGTAGGAGCGACGGACTGAGGCAGTGAGTGAGGCCGTGAGGGAGGCAGTGAGGGAGGGAAGCGAGGCCCTGAGAGCGAGGCCCCTCCGGGGAGGGTTTCCCACTCCCCGCCCCCCTTCCCCCGTCCTGGAATGAGCCCGAGTCCAGGGTTCGGCGTCTCTCTCTCTCTCTCTCTCAACACACACACACACAGACACACACTCACTCGCACTCCAGTCACAGTCACTTTACTTTCTGCCCCCGCCCGGAGGGGCAGCGGGAGCGGGAGCGCGAGGCGGGCGTCAGTCAGTCAGTCAGTTAGTCAGTCAGTCAGTGAGGGAGCGCGTGAGGGAGTGAGAGGGAGTGAGTGAGGAGCGAGCGGCCTCCCTCTCCTTTCTCTCTATCCCCCCCCTCCCTCCCTCTCTCTCTCCCCTCTCTCTCCCATCCCCTCCCCAATCCCTCTCCCCTTTCCCTTTCCCCGGGCAGAGTGATGTGGAGAGCGGCGGTGCATCGACACCGACGTGCGGCCGACCATGGAGCCCCGGGACCCCCCCCGCCGCGGCTGTGAGAGGAAGAGGAGGAGGTGGCGGCGGCGGCGGCAGCAGCAGCAGCAGCAGCAGGAGCGGCAGCTCGAGCTCGAGGAGGAGGAGGGAGGAGGAGGAGGAGGAGGAGGCGTCGGCGCTAACGGCGGCGGCCGAGGCCCAACCGCCGAACCGCCGCCCCCACCGCCCCCACCGCCGCCGCCGCCGGCGTGGGAGCCCAAGTACAGCCTGGTGCAGGAGGTCGGGCGCGGCAGCTACGGCGTGGTGTACGAGGCGGCGGTCCGGCGGAGCGGGGCCCGGGTGGCGGTCAAGAAGATCCGCTGCGACGCGCCCGAGAACGTGGAGCTGGCCCTGTCCGAGTTCTGGGCCCTGACCAGCCTGCGGCGCCGGCACCGCAACGTCATCCGCTTCGAGGAGTGCGTGCTGCAGCGCGACGGCCTGGCCCAGCGGATGAGCCACGGCAACAAGCGCTCCGAGCTCTACCTGCGGCTGGTCGAGACGTCGCTGAAGGGCGAGCGGATCCTCGGCGGGGCGGCGGCCGGCCAGCCCTGCTACCTGTGGTTCGTCATGGAGTTCTGCAACGGCGGCGACCTGAACCACTACGTGCTGTCGCGCCGGCCCGACGCGGCCGTCAACACCAGCTTCATGCTGCAGCTGACCAGCGCCGTGGCCTTCCTGCACAAGAACCGCATCGTGCACCGCGACCTGAAGCCCGACAACATCCTCGTGTCGCACGACTCGCCCGCCGGCCTGCCCGTGCTCAAGGTGGCCGACTTCGGCCTCAGTAAGGTGTGCGTGGTGGGGGGTGGAGGTGGAGGAGGTGGTGGTGGTGGAGGAGGTGGTGGAGGAGGAGGAGGTGGTGGTGGTGGAGGTGGCGGTGGTGGTGGCGGTGGGATCAGCCACAAGAACGTGAACGTCAACAAGTGTTGGCTGTCCTCGGCCTGCGGCTCGGATTTCTACATGGCCCCCGAGGTCTGGGAAGGACACTACACGGCCAAGGCGGACATCTTCGCCCTGGGCATCATCATCTGGGCCATGATCGAGCGGATCACCTTCATCGACGCCGAGACCAAGAAGGAGCTGCTCGGCACCTATGTCAGACAGGGCGGCGAGATCGTGCCCGTCGGGGAGGCGTTGCTAGAGAATCCAAAGATGGAGCTGCACATCCCCCAGAAAAGGAGGACTTTCATGTCTGAAGGGATCAAGCAACTTATTAAAGACATGTTGGCTGCTAATCCACAGGATCGCCCCGACGCCTTTGAATTGGAAACGAGGATGGACCAGGTTACCTGTGCTGCATAAATTATCTAGTGTACAAGTGTGGATGCCACCCTGAAGGTATATACTGAGTGAGCAAAGATGCTGGTTTTTGTGGAGAAGTCTTCGGTTACTTTGCACGCGAACGCTCCCTGGCCCCAGTTTGCTTCCTGCTCCTGCACTTAATTTTGATCTCCCGGCAAAGTTTGGGCAAAGTTACGCAATGTGGCGGAGTGCCTTACTGTGTTCCTGACAAGTTTTTGAAAGATTTCCGCGTTTACTCCTTTTTTTTTCTCTCCCCCCCCCCCCACCTCTCTGTCTGAATTTCCGGCTACCAGCAACTTTTTGCATATAAACCTGAACAAATACAATGAAGTGAATTATCGTATTTGGGATCATCAGATAATTACCTTGTGGCAATTATTCAATGATCCCAATGTGTTTTACATATATTGCGCCTCTCACTTGAAGTTTGAGCCTGAACCCAAGCTCGGAGGGAAAAGGTAGGGGAAAGTGCCCAAAAGTCCAGAAAGCGAGCGACTTTTAGATGCGTTTGAAAGGCCGGGGTGTGGGTTGTGAGTTGGATGGATTTGGGAAAAGTTGGGTTAATTTACAGTTAAATCTGCCTTTTCTATAAGACCTAAAATGTCACCCTTTTTTTGGTGAACACTTTATACCTTCTACAAGTGTAGCAAAGTGCTTTTTCTCCCCCCCCCACCCTCAAAGTAGGAAGCAATAGTCTGTCTTGAATTGAAACTTCCTGCTCACCAATCCCACATACTGCATCCTAAAATTCTACTGTATCCAACCATATCAGCTGCTAGACTGTCATTTGAGGTTTTTCCCTATTGTACTGGCATTCAGGTCAGCCTACATCTGATGTTTGTGCAATATTATCCTCTCGAGTTGATGTTGGTGTAATTGAGACCTATTATTAGGATTGGATTTGTGCTACTATTTATGTAGTTACCTGCTATTTATAATCCAATAGGGACTTAACCTCAAATCAATTCCATTGTATCTGATGCTCCTCACCTGTTGACAGGTGTTACTACAAATGCATGTTTGCCTACAGACAGTCACTAGACTTCATAGTAAAATCCTGTGAAGTGCTTTGAGGCATCTTGACAATGTGATAAGATACTAAGTATATCAAATGCAAGTATTAATATTTATTACTGCTTGACCACTTGATTTTTTTAAAAAAAAGTTCAGTGTTCTACCTGGAAAACTGTATGTATTCCTGCTTATATATATTCCATGTAATGGATATGTATTCCAATTAGTGAATGCAGTTTCTCGGTTTAATTCAGTGATAAGTAAAATCACTCTAGATTAACTTGTTTTGCTTTAATTACAACCTCAGTCACCCAGTGCACAGAAAAACAAGGCAGTTGACATTTATCTTGGTGCATCTACTTTTATTAAATCAACATTCAACTGCTTAGTAGAAAAGGTAACATGAATTGTATTTTCCTGATCTTGCCCATTCAAATGTATGTAAATAAGTTGATATCTTAAACCTATTAGTTAGTAGCCCATTAGAAGTATTTTTTTTACAATGAATTGTTCATTTATTCTTCCCTATTTCCTGAAATAAACAATCATGTTAGCAGTTTAGTATTTGATCAAAAGGCAGTCCCTTGGCTTTAAGAACTTGCATATTCAAAATGTATCCTACAGGAATGCCTTGGGGGTGGCACTAATATATAATGCCTGCCATGCACTTTAGCTAATGTCAGAATAATTGTAGGATTTTGTTTGTTACGACATGTATTGTTCTAAAGTTTCATAGTGAAAATTAAATTTTTCATTAGCTTTGGGAGAGGGAAGGAAAGAAGAAGGTCATGTTTACAAACTATCCCGATCTGCCCAAATAGCTAATAATGACTGATCACATGAAACGTGGAGATTTTCAGCTTGATGATCCACTATTTAATGCGTCCATTACATTATCAATGAAATGAAGTGGTTATGCATTGCAGTTTCAGTTTAATTATTTTACAACATTTGGTCATGGTGCTATCTGGTATGTACACCTGTAGATTTAGTTGCATGGAATATGTAGACCAACCTCATGAGCTGGAGAAATTGAGGTTTAAAAATGTGCACCCTTTCTGCATGAGTTGAGCACTTGACCTCATGAGCCATTTTTCTGACCAAAAATAGCTTTTCTTACTGAAAAAGCAAAGTAAGTATTTAGTAGAGTACAAAATGGAAAAGAATGGGAGAGAAAATAAATTGAGCATTAGTGGTTCAATGATTCCAAATTTGAATCTTAAGTATGAACCATAAGAGGAAGAAAGACTGTCACTAGGAAGCAGATGTTACCAATTTCCTACAATGGTTGAGCGGACAGAGCATGTTCCCCATTTGGAATAGATTCTGGACTTGCCTATAAAATAGTCACTACACTTTATAGGATATTTCCTGTGTGGCACTTTGAGATGTCCTCCTGATGTGACAGATGCTTTATCAAATGTAAAGATTATTTTGATTCCTATATATATACTCCTAAATCTGACATATTTGCATACATGTCAAAGTTAATACACAAACCCCCACGAGCTAGTGGGACCAATGAGAGGGAGATCTGGTCTGGCGAGCTGGAATTTCCGTCCAAGTGCAATTTCGATTGCCTTTATTGGTAATAGTGAAAACTATTGGTAAATGCTGGCAAAGGCATTGCAATGAGTCCTACAAGCAGAAGATTGAGAATAAGATGTTTTTTGCTGGCTGGCTTCAAACCAAGTCGTAGTCGATATCCCTGGCCGCTGAAGGCCAGTTGAGGTGGGGGCCATTCTTGGGAGAGGTGGACGTTTGGGAGTCCTCATGTGCGCGGACCACAGAACTTTTAAAACATTCTGTTTCGGGCCTGGTCTGGCTGTATTCGAAAATATGCAAACCTGGAGCCGAGGGGAGGAGGTTACTGGATGTGCATTCGCACTATCCTCCGTAATTTTTTTAAAAAAGCTACTACATGATTGTAATAGGGAAGTGAAAACGTACAACACCATTGCCTGTAATATCATACCTAAAACCTCAGTTAGGCCCCGGGTTCACTCCTTTGTAGATTGACTCTCACCATCTCAAGCTTAGTTGCATTTTTCTACAGTATTATGATAAATTTGATCCAGGTCATGGATAGATTTAATTTGTAGTTGGTCTGTGTTTTGTTTCCCCTCTTTGATGCCTCAGAAATCAGGGCATGCTGGCAGGAAGAGAAAAAAAAGTTCATACAGCTAGATGATTGCAACTGATGGTTTTATTCTGAATTTTTTTTGTCTAGCTCTCAACTACTTTCTTTTTAACACAACCCAGCTGACAAAAAGATGAATACAAAATTACTTCTGTATGACCTAACCTGACTGCCATTTATTTCTAGAGGGCATTTCCTTCAAACAAAATCCTGGACAGAAATTGATTCAGTGGATGTTACTTGCACTGCAATCTATTCTATACTTGCAGAGTTTCCTGCAGCTAACAGTTGCCAGATCAAACAACTGAATTAGATCTTGTGTATCCAGGAATAAAAAAACTAGATGAAGTGTATATGTGTGCTGAATGCATTTTAATAATCTAGCTCCTTAGTCTTCAGATTAATCAACTGCTTTGGTAAATCTTAGGTTAAAAATATGCTACGTACCAATGTGCAGTAATGGGTCTGAATTTCTAAAGGAATGCAACATCTGCCTGGATTTTGTGCCAATATTTTGTCTGCTTTTATTGTGAGAAAATTATACCAATCTGCAGTCAGCAGAAGGTATTCCCTTCCAATTAAAAGCATTAGAATGGACATTTTTTACCTTTTTGTACGAGCACACACAGCCTTCATTTTTTGAGACATTTTCTTTTAAATCTTTATTGCACTGTGCCTGCTTTTGAATTTGATCTGCAACATTTCATCCAGTGGTTTTGAATTTTTCAGAAATGAGGAAATCTAATCTAAGTTTCACTTTTCATTTGAGTTGCTCGTGTATGTGCCAGTGTATACAGTTGAATACATGCCTTACTTCATCCGGGCCTTTTTTTAAAAAAACATGAAACCCCCTTAAAAATAAACCACTTGCTATAAGTGGTGTGTGTGCATTTTTTTTAAAAAGGTACAATTAAAGGGTGACTTTTGTAGATATAATAGAACACTAACTTATTGCTAGACATAATCTTATTTAGAGCCAGTTATATCAGTTTAAGTTGTATTTAATTTTTGTGACCTACAAACCTAAACCATCAATTCCATTTGTTTGCTCAGGTACTATGATTAGAAATCTATGTGATTATGTGTTCCACAGCTTTAGTTTACACAGGATGGTAAAATCTGTCATGTTTCGTGGTCGGTCAGTTGTTGAATATTGTCTAGTGTTTCCTCTTGACACTTTTTTAAAAAAAAAACCCTTCTCATTTCAGGTGGATGAATTGAAACGTGAGCTTGCTTTCTTTGAAGAATGGATGGAGCAGATTAATGGAAATTAAACTGAACGCCTTCCTTCGAATGTACTGAGATGGTGACTTTGCTGCATTTAAGCTTCAGCAGTAGCTGAAGATGTCAGGACTGGGAAGCTATGCAATTAAATTGCTAGGTTTTTATTTGAAGGGGGAGAATTTGTCATGCAAGAAACCTGTATTATTTACACTGTTTGTACTTTCACTTTATCTGATTAAATTATCTGTGACCTCACAGAATTAATTGGGTGGATTGAATTGTTGAAACTGAGTATTTACAATCTGCATGGTTAACTTATTGTTTTGTGTAATGCATTAGATTCAACTGGCAAGAAAGGTGACCTGCTCTTCTTGGTGAAGACCACCGGTGTGGATGATTAGGATGAGTGACCAGAGTGCCTTAAATTTATTTGTCAAGCTTATTGATGCAAAGCAACATTTGAAACCTACGAGATTTTAAGATCTATTTTTTTGCTTGAGCTATGAACGCATTTGGAGAGCCAATTTCCCTGCCCTGTTTTTATTAAAAAGCAGGGTTCAACTAGCTTAAAATAGTTCAATTGTAGTTCTATAAAGAAACCTTGACAGTTTGAAAGATTGAATTAGTTAAGTTTTGATTGTTTCTTGAGTAGTATTATACAAATGACAGGTGAAACCTGGTCTAGTATATTTCAAAGGGGTCTTGAGCTTTAGATGCCCTACAACTAAAACATATTCAGTACTGTTTCGCAAGTCTAATCGCCCCTTCCATCAAAAACTATTCAGTAGCTTCAGGTATTCTGCAAAGGAGTAAGACTAGGTCACCTTTTGGGATTCGGGTCCATAGTAACGGCAACATTTTGACTGCAAGAGTCGTAAGTGAAATGCAATAGATTAAATTAAGATGGATGTGTACAGTACAGGTTATGGTTTTTGTATTCTGTTGCTCGTTTCAGTAGTAAATATATATGGAGCTGACTAAAGCTGCATTTGGGAATCTGCACTAAAGTTGCCACAGAAGTGGAAGGCTCTGAGTATTCGAAGACCTAATAAACCAAGATATTAGGATGAAAACTCCCATCTGCTTGAATTCTGGTGTCAGATTATGTCAACCTGCATATGATCACTTGGGTTTACTGGGAACATTCTATAACTTTCATTTTCACTCAAATGAAAAGTATTTTCAAGACATTACTTTTCAGACTTTAGCAGTGGAGGGGTAAGATCAATTTCGTCTATTTCTAAAACCACTAGAGATTTGAGTATTGGATTTTTGATAAGATGGTGTAGAGAAACCTATTTGAAAACCTTTTAAATCGAGAAACTGTAAATAGGGTAGGATTATATGGTTCTCATGAGTGCCATTAACCTTTCATCATGTAATGCTGAATCATCTGTTTTTGATCAACATTTTAAGGCCATTTGCAAAGTAAATAAGTCATCTGCATTTTTCATTTAGGTTTTCAAAAAGAGAAGGTAGTTTCATTTTCAATATTTGTTGTTGCATTGCAGAGTTGAGATCAAGCTCTGATATCAAACAAAATAGAAGATCCAATATACTAGATGTACAGTTTTCACTTGATCAGCTTGTAAATAATTTCTCTGAAAACATTACAGCAGAATTGAAGTCTTGGAATTTTTTTTAAGTCAAACTACAAAGCATTCACAGAAATTCTTGAGATAATATAGTCCAATTTGCTGCTGAATCTTTATTGCTTCTAATGATGAGAGCAATTTTTTTAATTTAAAAAAAATTTGAACACTGCTTCTAGATATGGACCAAAACCTAGTGAACTAAACTCAGTTGTTCACCACATTACATTCTAAATAATGACTGGAGTGATTGCAAGACTTTCATTTTGAGATTCAGAAGTATAAACTATTTATAGGTTTCCTCTCACAGCTTAACATTCTGTATCTTTTTGACTTTAATCTTGTGAACTACTGTAGTTACTACCATCACTTATTCGTGCATAACATTCAGAATGCTTTTCAGAAAATGCCCCAGTGTGTTGGAATTAAGAGATGTATAAACTTTTTGTCGCTGCTGTTGGAGCTCTCTTTATTTTAAAATCTTCATTTCACTATAGGAGCTGACTGGAGCCATTCTTTGTGTTTCAAAGCAGAGGAAAAAGCCATGAACTGACAAATGTGGGCACCTCATTGTGTTATATGGACTGATGTCTTTTCCGTTCTTGTGTGCTGATCCTGTAACCATCAATACAACTTACTGATCGGTTATTATATTCTCAGCTAATATGGAATTTGCAGGACTAGGAAGGAAGCTTTCTGAGTTATTGAGTAACAACCACATGTTGACAGACCAGATTTTTTCCCATCAGTGAGAGGTGGGGTGGTTGTTCTCCAGTGTGTTGGTAAGAGAAGTAATTCTGTTATTTTTTTTAAAAAAAGTAAATTCCTCTCCTTTCTCCTCCCTTTCCAACCATGTGGAGTACGTTTACATGAAGTTGTAAATGCCCTCGGTCACTGTAATCTTTCCCTTCAACATTATAATTTCTGATGGGCATTTAATGTTAACTGGTGGAAGTGGTGAGGAGGAATTTGAAAATCGTCAAACCCATTTATTTCTACGTATACCTGAAAAGGGATTTCTTTATCATTGAGATGACTACAAAGCAGCAAAGCTCTTGTAACTGAAATGTTGTGCTCATTAATTGATGAACCAATTCAGATTATAGCAGTTATGTGCTGTTCTTTTTACTAGTTCACTTACATAACCACATGAATAGCAAGTGATTGCATTTTTTCAGCCTCAGCAGTTGAAGATACAAAATAGTTTATGCATTTAGTAGATAAGCTGCTTCCCTTTTGTTCAAAATTACTTGGCATGTCATTCTACGTGGATATTATAATGTGGTGGGGTGGAGGGGAGGGTGATGAAACGGATTCTGGGAGCAGTAACTGAATGCCAGTTGTGTGATGTGATCATTTGGGACATGTTTACTGATGTGTTAAAATATGTGGTTTACAGAAGGATTTGTTTCAAGAGAATCCTCGATTGTCTCTACCTCGTATTCAGGGTGTCTGTCACCTGAGTTATGCCGGATGTTGAAACACTGCTCGCTCTGTCTGTATAGTTTAGATGTTTGCCCTCTTCTGTTTTTTAAATGCAAATTCATTCTGTTAGGTTAACTGTCTTATGGAGAAACTTTACACTTCTATGCAAATTTTATGTATTTTATTCCGATTTTGAAACACTGTAACAGTACCACAATCACAATATTTATGTGGTCCTTGTGTGTGGAATGCAAGACATTGTTGTGGACCAATGTTTGAGATGCAGTTTTGTGATTTTGTACTTTACCATTGATTTGTAGTTTTGGACTGGAGCTTTTTGAGCAATAGTTCAAATGATGTGTTCACAAAGAAAAACATTTGACATTCATTTGCATTTGTGTTGAGCAATAAAGGGTTGAAACCATTTTGTTGTTTTTTCTTTGGATTTGGGGGTGTAATGGGGAAAGAACAGTTCTGTTGCACCAATTATCCAGTCAGTATGTCTGACTCAATCCAGCTGACCTAATGAATCTACTTGAGCAGCCACTATTAAAACACCAGCCTCTGGTGAACACAATAAAGAGCTGTCAATTGCTCACAAGAATTATGCTTAAGGCAAAGCAAAGGGATGTTTTATCAATGAAAATGCATCTATAACTTCTACCCACGTGTGTTCCAACAGTTTTTAAGAAAGGCGATAGTTGCTTAACCACGATCCTGGTCAAGATAACAAGTTTGAAATTTCCCTATCCACTGGACTGTTGAGTGCCAATCTTGAAAATTCTGCTATTGCTGAAACTTTCTATTCTGGAGATGATTAGAATCCCAAGAGAGTGGGCGATAGTTCTTCGGTTTTGTTGAACAGCTTCCATTTCAAATTGAAAAGCTTCCAGTTGAAAAGAGGAAGGCTTCTTTTAGTGTTGACATTGAGCCAAGTGTAATATTTAAAAGGCTGCAGGCTGTCTTGGCTCGTAAAAGCTCTTGGTATTAGCACTTGGACTTAATCTGAGTAATTTATTGGTAAAGTTTAGTTAGGCACTAAAAGATTTATGTAACTCAAAAGCCCCATCCTCCCCCGGATACTGCAGTCGCATGAATAGAGCTGCCATATCTATAGTCAATTTGCACCTCAATTTTAAATTGGATATGTAATTGTATAGTGTGTTGATTCATACATTGGGAGGGAATTTTTTATTTTATTCTGTCAATCTGTCCCACTAACTAGTTTAACTTCCCAAGATTGTACATAAGTTTCACACCTTGTATTAGAAGCCAAGGCAACGAGGCAATTTCAGGTCCGCAAGATTTCAGGAATAAACTCCCAAATTATACCCCTATTGAATCTGACCACTTGCTTTTCTCTTCACAAACTAATACAGGAAGCAAGTTCTTAGCTCCTCATAGCCATGCATCCAGCACGAGCATTAAAATCAAAAGTGAATACCTCTGTACCTCTTATCCAACTGAAAGACCTGATACTGTTAACATTCCAGATACTTAGTCCTGTAGCTCAGTAGTTAGAGCACTCGCCTCGCAACTAAGAAACCTGGGTGCTATTCCCTGTAGGGTGAAATGTTGGCCAAGTTTCCTTACACCACACACCTCTGTTTACCTAGCAGTAAGTAGAAACTTAGTCGTTAGTCGATTGGCAGATTGCTTTTCTGGGAATAATAATCCTTAAAAAAAAATAATTTGGTCACTCAATCAATGACCATTTGTAGGACAGTGCTGTGCGCAATTGGCTGCAAATTTCACCCACAAATATAGTCAATTCACTTTCAATATATTCCGTGAAGCGCTTTGAGACATCTTGAAGACATGAAAAGCTCTATATCAAATGCAAGGATTATTATTCTTATAAATCTGTTATTAATCAATGCCAAAGTGAGAAGAAAGATACTGTCTCCCTGTATTGTATCACTCTTTCCGATGGCAGAGTCATTCTCAATCTACCTTGTCAATTATTTTTATTACATTAAGCACCTCAAACAGCCCATCACTTCACGTCCTCAGCCCAAGGGAATATAACTCCTATTAACCCAGCTTCTCGCCATTGATAAACTGTTTCACCCCAGGTATTGATCTGCTGATTATTTGCTGAGTGTTCTTCAGGACAAATACAGTATATTCTTGGAAGTTTCTTCATCTCGGGGGGGATTGAATTCCACAGAGGGTGGATTTTGGGGCTGATGGACATGATCATCTTTGTTGTTCTGAATACCAAGATGTTTCTATAACTCAACCAGTGAGCTCCAAATTGACGTGAAAAGTGCTATATCAAATGCAAGGATTATGATTATTATTATTATCTGCATTGTCATGGAGTGGAAAATGGCCAAAAGCCAATAATGGGTTCAATCAAGCCCTGTTTTGACACAGCAGCATAGGTAAATGCTAAGTCTGAGTCCATATGAGCCCATAAGTGCTAAGGTCATTTTGCTTATTTTTATATAAACACCTAGAAACGTCCCCTTTTTTTCCTGAAGGAAAGCATCTACTGTATAAACACAACTAACCTAGTTCTTTCTGAAATATTAAGGACCCCACTGAGTGATACAAGTTATTGCCAGTAGCAGAGGTAACATATTTCCAAGTCATTTCCCTTTTTCTAGCCTTTAATGCTGATGAGATATTAAATATTTCAAAGCACATACTTGTCAGCGCTTTGGGATGTCCTCCTGATGTAAAAGGCTATACAAATTAATTTGTTGCATAGGTATGAATTGAGGATGCAATTATGTGTCATAGGATGATTCCATACGCTTTTTGTCCCCCCCTCTGTACGATGTAATTTGTACATACAGTAAATAGAATGGGAAAGTTAAATTCTGGAGAGGTATATACGGAATGGAGAGATGATTGAACCTTTTTGTAATTATTGCATTGCGCAAGTGCTAATGGTTGGAATCACAAATTGACATAATCAGTTTCTGACAGTTGTACGCGATACCAGTAAATAGGATCTGACAATTATCTCACATCATTTTTTTCATTCGCTAGTGGGTTGTGTGTGAACCGCCATCATGCTCGGATTTCACAAAAGGAGGCTATACGCTCCACATTCCTAATGAATGGAGTCACTCAGCCAAATGTCAACAAGTTATGTAATCAGGAGAAGGAAAAAAAAGGTTTGCATAATGGCATTTGATTTATGCTATAGATTTATATAACCTACCAAAATAAAGCCATTGCCACAACTTGTATCAGGTGACTGTGAATAGTTATCTAACATGAGAACCTAATTGTCGCCGTTAAATGGAACATATCTATGTTTTGGAAGCCAAATACACTAATCTGGCTTGAACTTCAGAAATTGTTACGTCATCTCTTTACAATTTCTGAAAATCAAGGCAGATGTGTATACTGTACTTGACGGTGTGCAGGTGTTTGTCTACAAAATACAGTCACTATACATTACAGTAAATCCTGTTAAGGGCTTTGAGATGATGTAAAAAGTGCTGCAGCAAATGCAAGGTTTATTATTTATTTCAGACTGGCTGATAATAAAGCCTGTATTAAGGTATCAGATAGTCACAATGGTTCAACTCCGGTTTCACACCAGATTACTGAATAAATTTTTTTTTTAAGAGCTGATTCCTGGAGGAGACCATGCAGATATTTATGGAAAATATGTGATAGCAAGCAACAGAAAATAATCCTTGTCATGGGGGAAGATAAAGTGTACAAGTGGGTTTGTAGATTAGAAATGTGAGAGAGGGCATAATATCCATGTGTGATTCTGTACGAGTTTTAAGCTCATTACTTTGCAATGTCAAAATAAATGCATTAGACTGCAATCATAGTGGTTATTTAATGTTACATAAATGCCTTGGATTTTCAAGGTTTTAAATTGCTAAATCATGACTAGCAGAAGGGATTTTCTTTTAAAAAAAAGAGTGTCGTTGCTAAGCAATAAAAATCTCCAATCACAAGGGTGTCTGTTCAGCAGAGAATTGCAGAAATGATGCAACCAAGTCTTTGGAATTCGACAGTAAAGAGTTCCCAGCAGCAAATAAATTCTACAGGGAGCCTGGCACTGCTGTTTGCAACATGGCTTCGCAGAACATTACAGCAACACATTTAATGTTGTTTACATCTTAATTTCCTTATTATCCTTGGATTCATAATGCACCAAAATTGCATGTACAAGTGGAAAAAGTTAGAGATGAGATGAGAGAATTGCATATTTATAGTATTTAAATTGGTAAGAACTCAGAAAATGACTATATCACAGACGATTTCTGATACGGGTTAATACGGGAGGTTCATGAGTTTCAGGATGATGTTGGAAAGGATAAGTGAAGCATCAAGATGGAAATGGTGGAATGGAAACTTTCAGGAGAATGTGTCAGGAAATACTGCCACAGTGGTCCAGTTCAATTTTTATAGAATCATAGAATATTGCAGCGCAGAATGAGGCCATTCGGCCCATCGTGCCTGTGCCTGCTTTTTGGAAGAGCTACCCAATCAATCCCACTCCCCCGCTTTTTCCCCATATCTTTGCATTTCGCAATTTTTTAAAATTCATTCAGATCCCAGACACTTCAATACAAATACAAAATGATCTGTAAAACGCCTTTCACGTCGGGAGGACATCCCAAGGCACTGAACAGTCAGGGATTAGGATATCCAATAACACAAATCCACTTGACTTGACCCTTTGGGAAATAACAAACTATTTGTATCTCTTGATTGAGGAAGGCAACATAAGTGACTAGTGATCCAGTCTTGAGTGAGTCCTAAAATTCTTGCTGAAGAATAGAATAGATACATTTTGGTTATACAATACATGTTTAGATGATAATAAATATTTAATATATCCGGAGACATTTTTAGTGGTGTTATTGTGTACTTTCTCAACTTCCCCAGTCGCGAGTAGCTTTAACCACTCTTTATGTTTAGCCATCGTATTGAAAGTTGTTCTGAATAACACAATGCAAGTTCTGTTTGTGATAATACTCAAATCCCTCAATATATTACAGTCTTATACTTGTAACGTGCTCTTAAGTATGCTACTTGTCATTTTGAACTCCTTTTTCTCTCAAATCTACTACATTCCCAGCATGTCTACTGTATTAGTAAAGTTTATAAAATATATAAGTGCTGAATGTATGACTGATTTAAATACTGGAGCTGTATAAATCTCAAGCTTACATTACATACATATCACTCGCATTCAACTCCATTATTTCAGTAACTTGCTGAAAATGTTCATTTTTTAAAAAAAAAGCTCCACGTTAAAATCGCAATTGTGCCACCGGTGGGCACATGCCAGAAGAGAAGGGAAGAATAGAAAGGACAAATTTGGCTGTAAAACAACAGAAAATGTGGAACCACAAAAATGGGTTGATGTAACCATTAAAACATGCGAAAAGAGCCTCAGCACTTATTTGAAGGTACTTAAGTGCTGTTCATTTCCTTTTT